GGTCACACAGACCTCCTTGATGACATCCAGAAATTTGATGAGCCGAGAGGCACAACAGCTTTAATGATCGGGAGGTCACCTCCTACACACCTACTTCACTCATAAAAGCCTCGAGTAACGCTCAAAGTCGGGTCAGATTTGAGAGTTTCTCTCTTCTGTCCCCTCGATTTGGCTAAATTAAATAATCCTTTCTCAGCTTCTAGGCACTGATGTGTCAGTGTTTGGCTGACTATGCATCGGGAGCTCAAACCTGGCCTGTGGGGTTCGACAACAGTGTCATCTAACCTTGAAGAGTTCATGAGAACTTGCCATGAACATTAACACACTGAGAGATTTCACTGGAAAATCTAGATTTCCATCATCTCTTGAAAAACCAGAAGATCAGGCCAGGTGCGGTGGCTCACACCTATAATCCCAATGCTTTGAGAGGTTGAAGCAGGAGGATTGCTTGAGGTCGGAGTTCAAGACCAGTCTGGGCAACATAGGAAGACCCATTTCTACAATAAATTAAAAAGTTAGCCGGGCATGGATGGTGGCATGCACCTGTGATCCTAGCTACTTTGGAGGTGGGAGGATAGCTTGAGCCCGGAAGATCAAGGCTGCAGTGAGCTGAGATCGCACCACTGCACTCCAGCCTGGGTGACGACAGTGCGAGACCCTGTCTCATAAAAAGGGAAAGGAAGGGGAAGGGGAAAAGAAGAGAAAAAAAGTTAAAAAATATTTTATGATTTTTATAACACAGGTTCAGTTATGGCACTGCACATGTAGCAGTGGATTTGACTCATCAAACACACGTCTGGGGCCTCTGCCCCAGGGAGTGTGGTTACTCCGTTCCACACACAGTTTCCTCTATAGGGAGCTCTGAGCAGCCCTAAGTTTAGGGTGAGCGATGCAGCTTCAGACCCCGCTGTCTGAAGGGGGCAGTCTAGTCTGGGAGAGAGCTGAGGCTGGCTACATGCAGACCCACCCCACTAAAGGGATGCGGTGCTTGGATGGTTACCGTACTAAGGCCAAACACGAGTTTGTCACAAAAGCTGAAAAATACATGGTGAGAAAGAAAGAGAGAAAGATCAGGAGATCTGACAACCTTGGAATCCAGGTCCCAGAGGGGCAGGAACTGAGGGTCAAATGGGACATCCGAGGTCCCGCAGCTCCGACTAGTGCTGATGCGTTGCCATCATCACCCACCTGCGTCCCCTGCCTGAGCTCTGCAGGAAGCTCGGTTTGTGAACTCTCTGCCAGGAGTCAGGTATTTCCTGCCTCCCACTCACCCCTGCCCAGAGCAGAAGACCTGCTCCCCGAAGGCCTTACCAGAGACATTGAGGTGTATTCGTTCCATCCATTTCTCAGTCTTGGACACCATCCTCAGCCCCAGCTGACCACTGTCATTGACATGCACTGGGTGGATACTCAGTGTGCAGTTGTTGTTAATCTTGTTCCCCAGGAATTGCACCCTTTTCTGCCCTGAAGGAACCTTCCCATCCTTTGTGCTTTCATAGAGTCTGGTCCCTTCGAACTTCGAGATGTTCTGGTTATACTCAGGATTGTGGAACAGGATGAAGGTTTCCAGGGCACCATCTAGGACTCTGTAGGTGCAGGGGATCCAGACGCAGGCCCCCTCCCAGGCGTAGATGGTTCCAGGGTGATCAATATTCCATTTACTTGAGTCAGAGAAAGCCAAGTATTCTAGAACTCACCACAGTGATCAGAAAGCATTACTGAGGGGGCACGAGAGCCTTCTTTTACAAATTATTCTTTATTTTAAAATTTGTTTAATTTTTAATTCTTTTTAGAGATAGGGGTCTTGCTAAGTTGCCCAAGCTGGCTTCAAACTCCTGACCTCAAGTGATCCTCCCACCTCAGCCTCACAAAGTGCTGAGATTTCAGGCATAAGCCACTGCACCCAGCTGAGAGCTTTCCAAAAACTAAAGAATTCTCTCTGAAGATAGTGGGAGAAATACAGAGATACACAAAGACAGCAGGATGCAATGAGAGAAGCGTATGTATATATGGGAAACATATATATTTGTATGTACATCTATCTATACACACTGCCACCCCCACCCTACCCTATGTTGACGCCTCTCTGCCCGGGTCTTTCCTCCTCCTCCAGTGCCCACTGACATCCCAGAACCCCAGTACTGGCCCAGGCCACAGTCCTTACCCAGGAGCAGGAGCCAGGGGCCGAGGAGATGCATGGTGTCGTGTCTGGGTGGAAGCCTGAGCAGGGGAGAGTTTGTCTTTGAGCCATCTGGCCACTTACTTCTTCCACATGGCTTTTCTTGCTCACCCACTGAGCTCCGACCCTTCCCCTGGATCTGGGAGGACTGGGTCTGGTTGCATTATGAGGATGTGGCATTTGAGATGCTCACAGAGTTCTTTCTTTTTTTTTGAGACAGAGTCTTGCTCTGTCTCCCAGGCTAGAGTGCAGTGGTGCAATCTCCGCTCACTGCAACCTCTGCTTCCCAGGCTCAAGCACTTCTCTGGCCTCAGCCCCCCAAGTAGCTGGGTAAAGGCAGGTGTCACCACGCCTGGCTGATTTTTGTATTTTCAGTAGAGATGGGGCTTCACCATGTTGGCCAGGCTGGTCTTGAACTCCTGACCTCAGGTGATCTGCCAGCCTCGGCCTCCCAAAGTGCTGGGACTACAGGGGTGAGCCACCACTCCTGGCCGGGAGTTTTTTCTAGGTATGCTGTGCCTCTCCTTCAAACTGAGAGCCCTGTGAGGGCAGCTTCTCTCTCTTCCCAGAACTCCTTCCTTTCTTCCTTGCTTCCTTTTTTCCATCCATCCATTCATCCATCTCTAATTTTACAAACTTCCTGCCTGGCTCGCAGGCTTTGAGTGGCACCAGACCACTGAGTGCCTTGAATGCCAGGCCCCGGATAACATGGAGCTCTCTCTGGTGCTACTCATCAAGGATTATACTCAGGGACAGACATGGTCAAAACTTGGTTTGAAAGACCAGGCAAAAAGGAATTCTAAAACCAGTAACAAAGTATGGGTGAGCCAGGTGCAGTGGCTCACACCTGTAATCCCAATACTTTGGGATGCCAAGGCAGGCAGATCACGAGGTCAGGAGTTCAAGACCAGCCTGGCCAACATGGCAAAACCCCATCTTTACTAAAAATGCAAAAAATTAGCTGGGCGTGGTGGCGCACACCTGTAATCCCAGCTACTCGGGAGGCTGAGGCAGGAGAGTTGCTTGAACCCGGGAAGTGGAGGTTGCAGTGAGCCAAGATCGTGCTACTGCACTCCAGCCTGGGTGACAGACCCAGATCCTGTCTCAGAACAAAAACAAAACAAAAAATAAAGTGTGACACCAGGAGAGCATTTTGAGGGGTCTGGAAGGTCTCTGGAGAATGCCCCACAGGCCAGGTAGGAAACGTAAATCAACCAAGTGGGGACAAAGGTTGTACCTCCTCTAAAGGTGGTAGCGGTCTCAGTTCCAGTCAGTTATGGCCAGACGGAATCTGAGCTCAGCACTGTCTGATCTTCCACTGCAAGAGAAGTAAGAAGCTAAACTTCTATGTGGAATGACCTACTTAAAAAGAAAAATAGACCAAGGAGAAGTGGCCAATGTGGGAGGATTACTTGAGGTCAGGAGTTTGAGACCAGCCTGGGCAACATAACAAGACCACGTCTCTAGAAAAAAAGTTTAAAAATTAGCCAGGCATGGTGGTGCACACCTGTGGTCTCAGCTAATTAGAAGGCTGAGGTGGGAGGATCAGTTGAGCCCAGGAGGTCAAGCCTGCAGTGAATGGTGATCTCCCCACTGCACTCCAGCCCGGGCAATAGGGCGAGACCCTGTCTTGAAAAAATAAAAAATAGGCCGGGTGCGGTGGCTCATGCCTATAATCCCAGCACTTTGGGAGGCCGAGACGGGCGGATCACAAGGTCAGGAGATCGAGACCATCCTGACTAACACAGTGAAACCCCGTCTCTACTAAAAATACAAAAATTAGCCAGGCGCGGTGGCGGGTGCCTGTAGTCCCAGCTACATGGGAGGCTGAGCCAGGAGAATGGCGTGAACCTGGGAGGTGGAGCTTTCAGTAAGTGGAGATCGCGCCACCGCACTCCAGCCTGGGTGACAGAGCGAGACTCCGTCTCAAAAAAAAAAAAAAAGAAAAGAAAAAAGAAAAAATACATAAACTAAAAATATGCAGAGCTGGTCAAACAAAACCTATCTGTGGGTTAGGTTCTGTAATTGCTGCCCATCTTTCTCTCTTTCTCTGCAATGAGCTTATCCTCCACCATCCCTGACCTCTGCATAGAGTTATATTTACATCGAGTTAAATTTAAGTCCCAATTTACATGATCATGGCCCTCCGTGCTGGCCCCCGGGGACCCCGAAGGATGTGACAGCAGAGTGTGTCTCCGGTCTCAGCACCAACCCAAGGCCCTCCCACTCACCTGCCAACATTTCCCACGCATCAGTGTTCCTCTCTCTCTCTGTGTTTATCTCCTCGGGCCACACGGCTCATGCCGAGGGCTGCCAGGTGTCAGTTCATGGGTGTGGGGAAAGCTAAGCTGCTTGTGGACAGCAGGAAGGGGGTCTCGCTTGACCTGAGCATGAATTTGGGGTGCAGGGTCTGAAGCTGAGGCAGATTCCCCAGGCGGAGTTGACATGAGCCCTGCAAGTGCTCATAATATCACATGCAAAAAACGTCTTCAAGGTCACGTACACTTGAGAAAGGCAGGGTTAAAGAGTTAAGTAAAATTATTATTATTATTATTATTATTATTATTATTATTATTATTTTGAGACAGAGTCTCATTCTTCTGTCACCCAGGCTGGAGTGCAGTGGTGTGATCTCAGTTCACTGCATCCTCTGCCTCTAGGGTTCAAGTGATTCTCCTGCCTCAGCCTCCTGAGTAGCTGGGACTACAGGCATGTGCCACCACACCTGTCTGATTTATTTGTTTGTTTGTTTGTTTGTTTTAGTAGAGATGGGGTTTCACCATGTTGGCCAGGCTGGTTTCAAGCTCCTGACCTCAGGTGATCCCCCCAACTTGACCTCCCAAAGTGTTGAGATTACGGGCGTGAGCCACCGCACCCGGCTTAAGTAAGATTCTTTACTGCAGGGCTTTAAAAACCTTTTAGGAAACTCTATCTACACCATTAATCTCTAGATATGGAGATTAGAGTATAGTATCATACATTGCCCATACTTCTTTGACCATGGGATCTATTTTACATGTTCCATAAAAAACTTTGCAGGGTTGTAGGACCAGTGTTCTCTGAAATCCCCTTAAGGTTACCTAAGGGGTAACAAGGGCTGTGGGACGGAATAGACTCTGTTTCCTGCAGCCAACACTTGCCTCCAGGAGCTGGACCATCATCCCTCCTCTGCCGGCACCCTCCAGCCACACCCTGCTCTGGGCCAGGCTGGAGCATCCCAGCATGAGTGGGAGATGAGTGACTCCAGAGCAGGGCTGTGTGCTGCCTCAAGGAGCTCCAGGAGTCTCTGGAGCACAGGAGTAGGGCCCCAGGCCCGGGAACTGGAAGGCTGAGGGTGGGGTGGAGGTTAGGGACAGCAGTTATTATGCACAGAGGCTCAGGACAGGGCCATGCTGTCCAGACCTCCTCAGTCCAGGCCTGTTGAGGGCCTTGCAGAACCTTGGGGCCGGCCTCCCTGGCTCCTTCTTCCCTCCTAGGCATCCAGTAACCTACCCTACTCTCAGAAGACTCAACAGGCCTGACGAGGAGGATGCTCAAGACAGGGGTCTGTCTACGACCTGTTGTAACACAGGTAAGAGAGAGCCAGGGAGGTCCCCACTGTATTCCCAGCTCTGGGAGGTATGCCTGGCCTATAACTGCTGTTCCATAATAATTTGCTTGTTGAATGCAAAATAAAAGCAAAATGGTTTTTACCTCTTTCCGCGTGTCTTCCCTCTTCAGGGACCCTGGCAGCATCTGAGAGCAAAAGGAGAAGTACAGTGAAGTCTCTGGTGACAGAGGTTTCCCCTCCATGGCCACACCCCCTGCTTCTCTATGGCTCTGAGGGGGACCAAGTAGCATCATGATCTGGGGAGTGGGGAAAAGAGACGAATGAGGGGGATGCGGGCTCGGAGTCAGATCGGAAGACTCGAGTATGTATGGGCAGTTCTTCCTTTCAGTGTGTGGGTTTGCAATATCAGATCAGTTTCAGAATGGACTCCTTCACAACTCCCCCTCTACCCAGCTCTCAGGAAATGCGAATGACTCAAGTCAAGCAGGAGAACTGGAGCCCGCTGAAAAAGGCACAGGCCCACCTGAAAGTATTTGTAGTTTAGTGACACCATCCAGTTATTACCATTTCCACTCCTTTCATCAGAGGCATAAATGGTGGGGAATCTGACCACCTACACTGAAGCCCCCAAAGGTTGAGGAAGGAGGACATAGATATTGAGGAGGAAAAAGATATCTTGGCCGGGAGCAATGGCTCATGCCTGGAATCCCAACACTTTGGGAAGCTGAGGTGATGGATCACTTGAGGTCAGGAGTTCAAGACCAGCCTGGCCAACATGGTGAAATCCCGTACCTACTAAAAATACAAAAAATTAGCTGAGCGTGTTGGCAGGCGCCTGTAGTTCCAGCTACTCAGGAGGCTGAAAAGGAGAATCACTTGAGCCCAGGAGGCGGAGGTTGCAGTGAGAAGAGATCGCATCACTGCACTCCAGCCTGGGCGACAGAGTGAGACTCTGTCTCAAAAAAAAAAAAAAAAAAAAAAAAAAGAAAGGAAGGAAACAGAAAGATATCTTGTAGGGCTGGGCATGGTGGCTGTGCCTGTGGTCACGCCTGTAATCCTGGCAGTTTGGGTGGCCAAGGTGGGCAGATCGCCTGAGCTCAGGAGTTCAAGACCAGCTTGGGCAACATGGTGAAACCCCATCTCTACTAAAAAAAAAAAAATCCAAAAATTGGCTGGGCATGGTGGCAGGTGCCCGTGATCTCAGCTACTCAGGAGGCTAAGGCAGGAGAATCACTTAAGCCTGAGAGGCTGAGGTTGCAGTAAGCAGATCGTGCCGTTGCACTCCAGTCTGGGCAACAGAGCCAGACCCTGTCTCCAAACAAAACAAAACAAAACAAAACAAACAAAAAAAAGATATCTTGTAGGAAGTGTTATTGAATGGAGAGTCTTAAGGCTGAAACCTCATCACTTTTATAATCTTGTAGCCAGAGAATGTCTTAGGAGCAGAACAGATAGCAGTGGAAGCCATGCACATCCTACAGATGATGAGGGATGCGCTGAGAGGTCTTCACTCCAGCACCACTGCCCTCTACAGGCAGCTGGCCATAGGGAGGGAAACAGAGAGAGGGAAGAACACCTTCTTCCAAAAGCACCGATGGGGCTGGGTGTGGTGGCTCACGCCTGTAATACACTTTGGGAGAGCGAGGCAAGAGGATCGCTTAAGGCCAGAAGTTTGAGACCAACCTGAGCAACATAGCAAGACTCTGTGCAGCTACCCAACAAAAACAAAAAATGAAAAGTAGCTGGGCATGGTGGCATGTGCCTGCGGTCCAAGCTACTTGGGAGGCTGAAGCAGGAGGATCACTTGAGCCTGGGAGTTTAAGGCTGCAGTAAGCCATGATAGCACCACTGCACTCCAGCCCAGGCAACAAAGTAAGACCTTGTCTCAATAAATAATAAATAAATAAAATGAACAAAAAGCAGTGATATTCTGGAAAGATGGACTAGATGTATTTATTTATTCTGCCAAGTATAACTGAAAACCTTGAACATGACAAGACAAGCATAAGAAGACTGAAAGATGGAGAGAAGCAGACTGGTTAGGGACCTTGGGACTTAAGGAACGGTGGTGAATTCCCTGGGATTTCTCTTTGCCTCATATATCTCAGGGTGAATATTGAAGAAGCCAACAACTGAAAATGCCAAGGGGCACAAATAAAACAAGTCCCAACAAAATAAGTTCTAGCAAAACTATGATTTTCTAGCCAAAGAACAAGGAAAGGGGCATCCTAGAAAGACAGAGTCTTTTAGTCAATACCTGCTCTGCTCCTGCCAAGTTCCATCCTCACCCCTGTCAGCAAAGGCTGGCTGGGAAACCTGGACTTTCACCCTCACCAGGCTGTAACAAAGAACCCTAGGCCACTCCCATACTCAGCTGGAGTGATGCCTGAGTTGGAGCTGGGACCTTCACCCCTACTGGGATCACCCTCCCCCAGTGTGGTGTTGGTGGAGACCGTGTGGGCAGCCTGGACACCCACTGCCACCCCAATGCAGAAATGAGGGCTTTCCCCCACCCCCACTGGAGTAGTGTCAGAGGAGGCCTAGTGGAGAGTTGGGACTTTCACCACCACTCAGTGGTAACAAGCACCACTCTCTCTCTCTGCCACACACAGTGTCAATGAAAGCCACATAGGGAGCAGTGATGAAGCAACCCTCCCACTCCCAGCCTGGGAGTTGTCGTGGATTCCTAGTGGGGAACCTGAACTTCTACCCTTACCTAACAATAACATGGAGGCCACATCTCTCCCAATCCCCCAGGTTCAAGAAAGGCTGAATGGAGAACCTGGACTTTTATCCCTGTCTGGAAGCAATGAGGCAGTGCCCCACTTTATTTCTCTGGAGTAGTATAAAGGGAAGCCCGCTAAGACAAAAGATTTAAATAAGATCCAGACTCTTATAACATAGTGCCCAGAATATCCTGACTTCAATGGCAAATCACTTGTCATACTAAGAATCAGGCATTCTCAGACTGAGTAACAAAAGATAATTAACAGGCACAAGCATCAAGATGACACAGATGTTAGAATAATCTGACAAAGATTTTGGAGCAGCCATCATAAAAATGTTTCACTGAGAAATTATAAATGTGCTTGAAACAAATAAAGTAATAAAAAGTATCAGCAAAGAAATAGAAAATATAAAGAAGAACCAAATGGAAATTTTAGAACTAAAAAATACAAGAGCTGAAATAAAAACCATAATGGATTGGCTCAATAGCAGAATGGAGAGTGTAGAAGAAAGAAGCAGTGAAACAAAACATATAACAATAGAAATTACCCATTCTGAACAATGGAAAGAAAATAGATGAAAGGAAATGGAACAAAGCCTCAAGGACATGTGTAACTATAATAAAAGAAGATCTAACATTTTGTCATTGAAGTCCCAGAAGGGGAGGTAAAGGAGGGTGGGCCTTAAAAAAATTCCAAGAAGTATTGGCTGCAAATTGTCTTCATTTGACAACATACATGCACAATATATGTCTACAGATTCAAGAAGCTAAGTGCATCACAAACCGGATAAATCCAAAGAAATTCATGCCAAGACACATCATAGTCAAACTTCTAAAAACAAGAGGCAGAGAAAATTCTTGAAAGCAACCACATAAAAATGACACATTACCTATACCAGGAAAACTGTTCAAATAACAGTGGGTTTTCTCATCAAAAACTATGGAGTCCATAAGAAAGTGGCACAATATTTTTCAGGTGCTCAGAGAACTGTCAATCTGGAATCAGTCCTGTATCTAGTGGAAATACCCTTCAGGAATGAAGGGGAAATTGAGATATTCTCAAACGAAGGAAAACAAAGAGAATTTTTGTTCAACACAGACCTACCCTAAAATTATGGCTAAAGGCAATTCCCTGAACAGAAAGGAAGTAATTTTTTTAAAAAAGAATCTTGGAATACCAGGATGGAAGAAAGAACACTTGTTGAATGCAAAAAAAGAACAAAAATGGTTTTTACCTGTTTCCTCACATCTTCCCTCTTCAGGGACCCTGGTAGCATCTGACAGTAAAAGGGAAAGTACAGTAAAGTCTCTGGTGACAGAGGCTTACCCTCCATTGCCACCCCCTGCCTCTGGAAGAGCAAACCTATGGGTAAATACAATAGACTCTTCTTTTCCTCTAGAGTTTTCTAAATTACGTTTGACACTCAAAGCAAAAACTGTAACACTGTCTAATTCTGTTCTCAGTGTAAGTAGATAAAATATTTAAGCAATTATCCTATAAATGGGAGAGGAGAAAGGGTTGTAAAGGGAAGTAACTGGTAGAGTGTTGAAACCAGTAGACTCTGATAAATTATGTATGTTGTAATACCTAGAGCAACCTATAAAAAAGCTATACAAAGTAATATACTCAAAAACACTACAGATAAATCAAAATGGAATTCTAAAAAACTGTTCAGGAACTCACTAGAAGCTGGAGAAAAGAAAAAAGAATCAAAGAAAACAAAAAATAAAATGACACGCATCAGCCTTAGCATAAAAGTGATTACATTAAATGTAAATGGCCTAAATAAATGCTGTTTACAAGAAAATAACTTGAAGGCTAGGTGCAATGGCCCACACCTATAGTCTCAGCACTTTGGGAGGCCAAAGTGGATGGATCACTTGAGGCCAGGAGTTCAAGACCAGCCTGGCAAATATGGCAAAACCCTGTCTCTACTAAAAGTACAAAAAAAATTTGCCAGGCATGGTGGTGCATGCCTGTAATCCCAGCTACTCGGGAGACTGAGGTGAGAGGATTGTTTGAACCTGGAAGGCAGAGGTTGCAGGGAACCAAGATCATACCATTGCACTCCAGCCTGGGTGACACAGCAAGACCCTGTCTCAAAAAAAAATAATAATAATAATAACTTCAAATATAATGGAAATATACCATGCAAAAAGTAGTCAAAAGAAAGTAGGAGTGGCTATATTAATAACAGATAAAGTAGACTTCAGAGCAAAGAAAATTACCAAGGCCAGAGATGGACATTATATAATGTGGGAAAAGTCAATCCACCAAGAAGACATAACCATCCTAAATATGTATGCACCAAACAACAGAGCTGAAAAATATATGAAGTAAAACCCAGTAGAAATAAAAAAGAAAATAGGCAGCCGGGCTCACACCTGTAATCCCAGCACTGTGGGAGGCAGAGGTGGGTGCAGTCAGGAGTTTGAGACCAGCCTGGCCAGCGTGGT